TGACGCAAAGTTTTCTAAATTTTTTCTATTTTCAAAAAAAAAAAAAAAAAAGACAAAGAACTTCTCAAACAACACATACAATTTTTCAAAATAACCCTGCATTTCTAATCATCCAGCATTCTCTCATACATTGTAATATTGATAAAGGAATAACATTGAGGTAATTAACATTACATGTGCATAATGAATAAACAATTAGAAGCATTTTAAGTTATACGGATGAGAAGAACTACCATAATGAATAAACTCATCATAATAAATATAATGAGCCAAGTGAGGCATGTAGTTTTCGAGCTCTCTGAGTATACCTGAACAGCGCGAACATTGGCACGGCCCGTGCTCGCCAAGCTCTGCTCAACAGCCCTCTCTGTAGAGTCCAAAATCTGCCCATATAGACCACATTCAACAAACAAAATAAAGGGATCAATTGTTTTTACATATCAACCACTTAAACTTTACGTTTTACATTTATACCACCCAAATCTTTCATATTACAAAAAAAGCACCATTTTAGCTTTTGATCAAGTGAAATACACCATTTCATGCATAGGTAAGGAGGCATGTATGTAAGAATTGATGTTTAGGTGCCAGATATGTAAAAACATAGGAACTGAATGGTATGCATTTAAATCTTCCAAAGAATAAAGAAGTTACCATTTCAGTTTCATTCAAGGATTTATTCATCAGGAGACTGCTTTCCTTTAGTTGTTTTGCCAAAGTAACCATTTCATCTGTTAAATCAGACTGAAGTTTTCTGCAAGAAAAATAATAGATTTTTAAACTCGTCACCAATAAAAATATATTATCTACAATAATTCAAGGTATTTTCAAGATAAACAAACAATCCATCTTTCATATTCTTAAAAAAAGGTAGGGATAATTACAAATAGAGCACTCAGTGATTTTTTTTTTTTTTTTTTTTGAACTACCAAATTGGTGCATTTACATGCGCCATGATCAAATCATTGAGAATTTGATAAAAATAAAAAATATGGGCTGAGATTTTATCGTAAATTTTGATATTTGAGTGAAAATTTAAAAACTGGATGAAAGAGGGCGCTAGGTTTGTAAATAGCAATGTTTTGAGTGCTATGATATGCTAACAAAACAAATGAATTGATAGCAATACATTTAGTTAAAAAATATATGGAAAATTTGATTTACCAGTAACACGTGCTTCAATAGTAAATATTCCAGAAAGGACTATTTAATGAAATTTCTTATGCAGGAAGAAAAAAAGTCGAGCCTACTTCTACATTTTCATCCATTCTGGGAATATAATTGGTTTTCTGCTCATAATTGTACTCCTAATGTAAGAAACTTCCGTCATCATCAGGATAATATAAGAGCTCTCTGCCTTAGAGAAAAAAAACTCTATTGCAAGGTTTCTGTCACATAAAAACACATCATGCGAACTGTAATTTAAAAAATTAAAGAGAGGTTCACATAGATAAGACTAAGTTCTTATAAATTTACATATCTAACACGTAAAGTTTTCTTGGCACAGTTTTTTATATTTATACCTCCCAAATCTTTCATATCACATCAAAAATATCACCATTTTAACTTGTAAAAAGTGAAATAAAACTTTTCATACATAGCTATGGTACGTAAAAGTTGAAGTTTAGGTGTTAGATATGTCAATACAGAGAAGTTGAGTGGTATACATGTACATCTTCCAAAACTTAAACCATGATCTGTCAAGATGTTCTGTCAAATGCTTTTGAACTGCATTAATCCTATTCATCTAATGATGTGTCTTAGCTAGGGGTGTAACTGAGCCAAGTGCAACTAGTGAGCTCGTGAGCCAATTCCTTTAAAAAATAATTAATTAAAATAAAAATATTCAAAATATACTAAAATTCTATACCATATGTTGAAGTTATTAAAAATATAAAAAAAAATGATATTTTACATTTCATATCAATTAATTTCTTATTATTTTTCTTAATTGCTCATTCAATTTGACATTTTATTATAACACGAGGTCACTAGCTTGTATTAACATTGTTTCTCTCTTTAATAATAAATAAGCCGACTTGAACTCGTCAAACTCGAGCTCGAACTCGATTAAAGTAGCTCGACTCTACTCTCTTACACGCTCGAGTCTTAACAGACAAGAAGATCAAGGGCGAAGAAGTTGAACAAGAAATCAACAGAAGTATGCTTCTTTGAAAACGAGTCAAAAAATAACAATGATTAATCGTGAAAAAATTTAAAATGGACTGGCAGAAAAGGGTAAGAAAATACCTATGCTTCTCAATATGTGCATGTGCTTCTGCATCCAATTTTACAGGTGTTCCAGTATCCATCGCGACTGTCTCATGGTTTCTATCAACTTTTGTTACAGATCTACCGATTTTAGAGCCACTAAATCACCTCATGTAAATAGACAAAATGAGCAGCATGGAAATAGAAAATATTAGCATACTTACGCAGTTCTTCTTCTCAAGCTGGGAGTAGGATATGTATGGCTTTCAGGATTCTCTGATACAGGAACAATTTCCTCAACAGAAGTTTCTTGAACAGCCTCCATAGATTCTGGCTAGCAGATTTATTAAAGAATTTCAACAAGCACACTTAATGAAATTTTCAAAAAAGCATAGATGAAGAAACAAGAACGACTACCAAAAATTAAGATTTCGGTTAAATAAGAAGAAAGCACTGAAAAAGACATCTAAACCTGATGACTTGAGCATCGGAACTCATTCAC